CTGTGTACATGTTCTGGTCCAGTCCAGAGTGGGAAGCAGCACTGGGGTCATGACAGTGGGGATGCTGAGGAACCAGAGGACTATTGTGTGATCCATCGGTGCTCTCTTGTACCCTGATGGACTCATCCCTTCCCTGGGACCCCTCTGTGGGGGGATGTTCTGGCGTCTACAGATGGGCTTTCGTTCTCTGTGTCCCCTCGTTCTCAACAACGTTAGTTTGTTTGTTGTGTGTTATGAATCTTCTGATGCCTGTTACCTGCTCCTGATGACACCTGTAATCACACTGGCTGGTGTGCTTCTTCCCTGTTGGATAGCCGCTTATTTAACTTCAAGCCAGAAGGACTCTTAATCCACCAGTCTTGCAAGGAGGACAGCCACACGTCCTGAGAAATGAGGGCTTTAAGACTTTGTCTTGTGCACTTTGGACATCTTACCTGAGGGAGCAGTCTCTGCAGAGTACGTTATGTTAGGTAAAGTAGAGGGTCTCTGGACAAGAGGAAGGCCCTCAGGGAGGCAGAATAGTACGTTAGTTGCAACAGTTGGCTCAAACATCCATCCATCCTATTGTGAAGCTGGTACGAGGCCGGGCAGTGTTTTCCTAAGTTAGACACGCCGTCACATGAGTTGGTACAACGTCAATGACAACACTAACACTGGGCTCTACTTTATCAAAAGAGTGTTGATTCTGTTAGAGTTTATCTGTAAATTATGCTGTAATTGGCTAAAATGATGCTGTACATTTATGTCCTTATCTTACTGCCTTGGTTAGGATTTCTAATGCTAAGCTAAATAGTATCATAGACTCAGGGGGAGGGGGCATCCATGTCTTGTTTCTGAACATCAAGGGGATATAAAGACTTCTTGCCCCATATCATCTTATAGAGCTTTCATCAAGCTGAAGGAGCCCTGGTGGGGTAGTGGTTACGCATTAGGCTGCAATACACGTAGTCAGCAGTTTGAAACCACCAGCAGTTCTGTGGAAGAAAGACGGGGCTTTCTACTCCCCTAAACAGTTACCGTCTCGGAAACCCACAGGGGGTAGCAGTGAGGCAGCACTGGCAGCAAGTTTGGTGGTTTTTTTTTGGTGGGACAGTATGGTTTTATTCAGCATACACACAGGTCACACCACGGGCGCCCGTCAGCTCTACCGTGTAAAATCGTAGAAAAACCCATTAGCCAAACAGAAAAAGTGGGGGGCTACAAAATGAGGTGTGGGGGGCTGAAGCAGCGGTGTGTCTGTGGCTCGGTGCCGGGCCCCGGCAGACAGATCAGGAATCATCACATTGTGGCTGTGGGCATTTGTTTTTTTTTGTTTGTTTGTTTGTTTGTTTTTCTTTTTTAACATTTTATTAGGGGCTTGTTTGGTTTTTATTAACCTGAGGAAACTCCTTTTTATTCCTGATTATGTGTTTTATCACAGTAAGTCACAGAACATCAAATGCTTTTTTTCTGTATAGTTTATAATAACCACATGTGCTTTGTCCTTTGGTCCATAAGATTACAACACTCTTACATAATTTTAAAAAAACCCACTAGGTTAAATAATACACTATTGGATTCAATTAGTTCAATTTTTTAAGGATGTTTCATATCTATATTATGAAATGGGTGTATACTTTTCTTGCCTTGTCGTATAATTATCTGAGCTAGAAATCAAGATTAAACGAACCTCTTATGTTGGGCAAATTTCCTCTTCTGGTTTCTGGAACAATTTGTGTAAGATACAGAATATTTGTTCCCTCAGAATTTGGTAAAACACGCCAGTAAAACTTTCCATGTTGGGAAAAAACAAAACTCCCCTAAACCAACCAAGCAAGGCAAAAAAAAAGTTTCCTCCTAACTTCCTCAGGGAACTTCTTGTTGGAAAAATGAGCCAGCATAAAATGAACGACAGCACTTCACAAGCCAGGTCAAAGGGGACTGACGCTTATCCCTGGCAGTCCCATGAAGATGAGGTAAAGAAGGTGGGCGCAGGGCACGCCCCTCCTAAGGGGCTGGAAAGACATCTTTAGAGGTACACGACAGGTGGGTTTCATGTTTCATCACTCCTCCCCCAAGATCCCCTGGGCAACTGCACCCCTCTCCCCTTTGCCCCCACAGAGCTCTGGGTCCCTTTGGAAGCTTGTGGAAATTTACAGACACTCCCCCCCCCTCCCCCGCTTTCTCTATTTTATGTTATTTTTTGAGGAAGGCAAACACAGCATGCAAAACTGGAAGGGAATGCCACAATCGTTACTGTAGCGTGCGGCATTACTAGGCTACATTTGCCTGTCCCTAACTCTCTGACCTACTTTTCACTTTTCTAGAGTTTTAAACCGAGGGGCAGACTCCACGCAGTCCAAACCCATTCCATCAGAGTGCGCACATAATTGCTTGGGACATCCCGCCCCGCCCCCCGGGAACGGCCAAGGCCCCGCGCTAAATTGCCACATGGCAGCCGAACACCGCATACCCTAGCTTGTCGTGCATTCTTTCCAAAAATCGGGACTTTTTCAAAATGCCACGGGATGCAGGAAAAATTGTAAAAAATCGGGACTGTCCCGCCAAAAG